GTTCAACCAATCAAATGCCAAGTTTTGGTCTCATGCCAAATTTTGGCCCCAATCCAGTCCTGAAATGTTTGTATTTTTGTAGTATTTTGTTTTAATTGCTCATTGCTAGTGTTCTGCTGTAAATGCCATTCTATACACAGGACATATGAATACTAAATGAGTGCAGCATTGTTCTTTTACATTCTTCTCTCTAGTAGTGGTGCTCGTTGAAGTCTTTCGCCTTGCATACTGGAATCCAAATCGAATGAAAAGCATGGTGAATTGAGGGAGCAAAGAGCAGCATCAATGCTACACTTTGAAGCTGAATCATGGTGAAAGCCTCAAAGGTAGGTTTCTCTGCCACCGGAAATAATTATTCATCTCAGTTCTTTTCTACGGCTATTTGCAGGCTAAGTTGTGTTATAAGTTTGTATTTTTTATGCTTGTGTACACTCTGAGTGTGCCCACCAGTCTTTTTTATATGTAAGCTCTGAGTGTACCTTACAAACTTTTAGTCCACGAAAGAACATAATTATTTCCAGTTTCTTGCCTTGATGTAAACTATAAAATTGTCCATGTATTTGTAGATGGGTGATGCTCTGACACCAGAAGCATCTTGAGTACATATGGACAGAAGAAGTGTACGACTGCAAGGGCGAAACTCATTTGCGTGCGAGATAATTTTAGTTCCTTTGTTGAACGTACACCAACACAGACTTGTGCTGAACTGAATCATATTCGTTTGGTGTTATCTCTCCCTGCAAATGAAGCTTGATGAGAGACAAGCATTCGAACCGGAGGCAAACGTCAACTGAACAATATTATGTCATGTACAATCAAGATAGCAAATGCTCGCTGAGCGGTTGATCATTTTAGTACTTAATATTTGGTTTTGCTGGTCATGTAATAAAAATAATCATCTCATGTTATGGATCACTTCACATGCATGTATGTGGATCAAAGTCGACCCAGAAATGGAATACCTTGCTCACAAACATTTTCAGCAGCCTATTCAGATGTGGGTGTGTATTGCGAGATAACCTTAATGTTAATTCAATTTTATGTTGCATAATTCATATAAAATATTAGCTCTGTTTTGGATAATCCAGTTTGACATATACATTTAGTTGTGCGTCAAGGGGATGACTTAATTTTCACATATAATCAAATATTGACATGCTTGAAAGAGTTGTCATCAACATTCTGCCGATTTGGAAATAAATGAGAGACATGAGGTTGTTACTATAAAAGTGATGCTTATATCTATCTATTTCTAGGGGGTGATTCGTGAAATGTACACTTAAGTGGGAGCAGTCCCCTCCACCATAATCTGTGCCATTCATCTCCCATCCAATGGCTCAGATTTCATTTTTCTATTCTTTCACATGAAGCTCAGATTCTATACTAGTTGCTCCCTTATTACTGGTTTCTCATACATAGACAAAAACAATTCTAGAATATCATCATCCAATTATGAGCATATAGGTTTTAGTATTGTCTCTACTTGTGTGCTGGTAGCCTAATACCATCTACCAAAATGTAGTTAGTAGTTACCTATGGGACAATTGCCTTGTTGATGCCGACTGATATGTGATAATTTGCAGTAGAATGTCCAGTAAACACATAGATATAAGGTGGCATATGTATTTCTTACTTATTTTCTTCATTTTATCATTATAAGGAAAGTATGGATCCCAAGTTCAAAGCCATATCCAATTAGTTTGTCTCTCAAAAAATACAAGGAATGCTAAACGATGATTTACCCATGGAGGCATGGACCGAGATTGCTTTAATTTGGTCGTACAGAAGATTATGTTTGATGACATCCAAAAGACACAAAAAAACAAAACAATTGATAGAAATACATTATCTGGACATGAAATATTGGGTATGTTTTTATATTCATTATATACTTTTTTCTATATTCAAATTTTTTAATTCTAACCAATTATTTTATATACTGATTGTTAATTGTTTTGGCTGGAGACTTGCTTGCTGGTGGCTGGTGACCTGCATGGACCTGGTGGTGCCGTCGGTCGCGGCGCTGCCGCCACCGTCGTTGCAGCAGCTAGGTCGGGAGTAGCCGAGTAGGGGAGAAGCATACTGAAGTCTGGATTCTGCTCCTTCGACCAGCCAGTTGAGGGTTGGAGTCGTCAGCCGGCGCCGTCGTCAGGCATCAGCTAAGTTAAAGAATTGGGAATCAGGCGACTGGCTGATTCGTACGGGTGGGCTGCTCTTAGTGCTCTGCCAATTTGGCCTTCAGATTGTTGCCTGATTAATTGCTTGTGGGACGTATAAGCACAAAAATAGTGCAAAAAATTACAAATGAAATATAATATTTCAAAAAAATGTTCATCATCATAAAAATGATAACCTTTTAGAAAATATTATTTAAAAAACACCACAAAATAAAAAATATCTGTGCTTTTTGAACAACCAAAAAATACTTTCATCTGATGAAATGAAAGTGCGGAACTGAAATAGGTATGACGCACATTGTTATGGTACGCCCAAATTTCATGGTCCAAAAAAATACTCAGTGTAATCTTATTTCTGACGTTTGCAAAAATAGGACTAAAAAGTGTTGCATAAATGGCACATGGAGCAGGTTTCAAGTTTTTGCCCCAAGATCTCCTCTCGTCTCCTTTCGTTCGTTCTTTCTTTCCTTTTCCTTGTCATTGAGGTCGAAGGGTATGCAAAACTTAATTAGGCACTATAGAGTTGGTTGTGCGATAGGGGAAAATGACTTTGATGCTTAGCTCGGATGTTTGCTTAGTATGCTTAGAGTTGGTTGTCTGCTTAGTGTGCTTCGGATTTGATGTGGTCCATGTCTGGTCTGTACTGCCCTGGTTTGGTGTTAGGTTGATTTGGTTTATGATGCATTTGGTTGCTGTAGGCTGGGTGCACAAGATTTTGTAGACCAAAACATGTCAAAAGCTAATTCGGACGGGTCTTCTGCAAATGATTTTCATCTTCAGACATGCCTTGAGTAGATTATTTAATCATTTTATAAGAATCAATTTAACTTTGTATTGTTGCAGCTTCATTATATATGTACTTACCAGTGCATTTAAAGGTTCAACAATGGAAAAACCACCATCAGTCTTGGCTAGATTGACATTGGAAGAAATATAATGATGAATCATGAACTTCATATAATCGTCGGCCTAGATTGCATGCTCCTTATTTTCAAACTGTTCCTTTAATGGCTGTCAAACTGGTATGCGCGAGCAAGAACTGCAGTATCAATGTGAAGACTTGAGGAAGAAGGTAGTGTTATTGATCTTACAAGGTACATTTTTTTGTGTGTAACATAGTTTTTTATAGTAAAATTGTATCTCTCTATTGGGTATGGCTTTCTAAATGGCATTCGGTGTAACCTGCCAAATCTCTCCCATGCATAAATGATTTTTCAAAGTATAGCACCCAAATGATTCACCCATGACATGTTCTTGGAATTGATTTGTACTACTGATTATTCAAAACACGAGTGTTAGATTTTGTAGTCTGAAAATATGATAATGATGCCGAGAGAAGAGATCATGCGTATGATCCATGAACATGACGTGCAACAAGAGATAGTATGACTTATTCAGAGAACCATCTTGATCCTTCTTTTTTCTTCATAATATTGCCAACCATTGAGATTGTGGTGCGGAAGGTCGCGGGCGCTAGAGATTGTGGCACGGTTTAGAGGGTTGGCCGGCGCGGGAGGCGGCGAATCAGGTAGGGGGCGACGAGCAAAATATTTCAAAAGCCCGTGGCAACGCACGGGCATTCTACTAGTGTTGTTTCAGTGGTATTCTGATGACCCAACATCTTAGTAAGTTTCACCCCGACTTAAAAGTGGATACTGTAATGCGAAATGGTATTACGTACGAGGTTGCCACGCACTATTCCATAGGAACGATTTCATCGCCCTAAGAACGCGCCATCACCTTCAAATGGCATGTTGAGAAACAAGAACTTCCACATGCCGAGCATCAGTACCGGTATTCCTTCTCGAGCTTCTATTTCTTCCGTTAAAAGAGACCCGCGACTTCTAGCGTGACAGACCAGCACTCTAACCAACTGAGCTATTTCCCTCTTCGTTCTCCTCGGATTCCAGTTCAATCTCCCAATCAGTGAGAAATAGACCGTCGGATCAAAAAATCCCTGGGAAAAAAGAAAAGATATCTCGGTAACGAAAACCATAGGAGGTTGTACTGGCGAGACCTAAGAGCCCAAAAGAAAAACCGCCTGGAAGTCCGAGGACCTTTAGTCTTTCTATACGCTAATTCCTCACTGAACCTCAGTCCATAGTTTGACCTATCTTTCTGAAGTCGGGGTGAACTCATTCACCTTACGTCTTGGGTGGAATGGAATCCCCTACCCTGTGTTAAGCATATAGCTAGCGTTTCTGGTGAACTTCACTTCACACCTAAAAAGTCCTGATTGGAAAGAGAAAAACTTACACGCTATAGTGACAGGCGAGGGCGAGCATAGATGATTTTGGGCTTATTTTCTAAAAAAATCACGACTCGGGCAAAAAGCGCTGGAGTGAATTGACTTGTAATTATACTCGGTTGGTCTTCTCCTATCCGGGGAATCATCGGTCGAAGTAATCTGGTTGGGATTGAACACTACGGCTTGGAGTTGGGTTAGGGTTGCTCGGAAACACACAGGGCTCGCCAAGCTGGCCGGTGGGGTTGCCGAGCTGCTGTACGAAGAGGAGAGAAGGAGGCAGTTCCGTGCGAGCAGGGGTAGAAGAGGATCTGGGCGAGGCAAGATGGGGGACGATGCCTGCGAGGTGGAGGGAGAGCTCGGGGTTCTGCGTGAGATTAGGAACGATTAATTGCAATCACGAGGGATTTTCTTTTATTTCTTATTGGGTGTGTCTAGGGCACATCTAGATGTGCTCTAGTTATTGCACATCTAAGTGAGTGAATCAAGTATAGAGAGGAAAAGAAAAAAGAAAAAAAATATTCACACGAATCTCTTGTGGTTGGCGTCAGACGAGACGAAGCTCCGATTTACCATGCTCACATGGAGATGCTGTTGGGGATTCCCTTGGCGGTGAGGCCGGCGGCGGCACCCTTGTGGTCGGAGGTGTTAGGGTAGAGCAGCATGTAGGGAAACTTGGCCGGGCCGTTGCGGTTCATGCCCACCACCTTGCTCTCGATCTCCACCAGCCGCTCGCTGAACCGCTTGAACACCTCCAGCGCCTTGGGGTCGGAGGTCCACTCCGGCATGTCGCGCTGCCCCAGGTAGAGCTCGTCGGAGGAGTGCTTCGACAGCACCTCCAGCAGCGAGATGCCGATGATGGTCTGGATCTGGCTCGTGATGGTGTGGATGAAGGCCCGCTCCGGGTCGCGCTCCAGCTCCGCGTACTCCTCCGTCCCGGGCTCCGGCATGCGGCGCCGGCTCACCGTCGGCCGGTTTGGGAGGAACCCCGCGTACGGGTACTGCCCGAAGTTGACCGCCGCGTGCAGCGCCGACCCGATCCAGATGATGGTGGCGCACGCCTTGGCCAGCTCGCCCACGCCCTGCATCTTGGGCCACCATGGCGCGTCCTTGAGGTCGCCGTGCCCGACCTCCCGCGCCTCCTTCCACCACGCCTGCAGCTCCACGTCGCCCTGGAGCACGCCGTCGTTGGGGTAGTAGATGGCCAGGTACTCGCTCACGTACTCGTCGATGGCGTGCCAGATCGCCAGCCCGTCCGCCGCGTACGGGTAATCCGACACCAGCAGCCGCACCTTGTACGGGCTCGACGGGTCCTCCACCGCCATGCCCCTCTTGATGAGATCGTCGGGCAGGCCCTGCTCGGTGAACTTCCAGTCCTTGTACACCACCGACGACATCCCCAGCGCGAACCGTCATCTCGAAGATGCCGCCGGCGTTGATGAGCGTCTGCATGGTCATGGTGTCGCGGTAGTGCGGGCTCAGCAGCTTGTGCACCGGGTGCGTCACGCTGAGGTGCCGGTTCGTCGAGATCACGAACGGCTCCATCACCGCGTGAGTGTTCAGCCTGCATGCACGTTCCAATCGTATTACATCAGTTGTGCATCTACTGAGTACTGACTGGATAGTGGATACCACCGGGTCAGTGTCGCCATTGTTTGGGGTCACTCCATGCTGTACGTACCAGTGGCTGACGAGCTGGTGCCACCCGGAGTCATTGACGGCGACGTAGGCCTTGGCGAACTCCCACACTCAGCCTTGGACGGTCTCATTCACTTTGAAAACAAGAATAGATACAACCCACGTCAGCACACACGCATCTTATAGCATCACATCCAATGGCTATAAAAGATGAATGAAACCAAATTATATCTCATCTAGATGAGTTCTAGCAAAACTGTTTATTATTACCTGCTGGACGGTGAGGCCCTCGAGGTTCTTCTCGATGTGCGCCGCCGTGATGGTGCTGGTGTGGTCACCAAACTTGCTAGGGTCAAGGCTACTTTTTGGCGGGAACTCCTGCGTGCATGCCGACCCAACACGCTCTATGGACAACATACACATCCACTCATTCAGCGTTCTCACCGTGAGACGTGTGATCATGACGGGATTGACGCCGGCGAGCACCTCCCGGGCGAACTCCTCGTCGGTCCTCCACGCCTGCTGGTGCTGGTCCGCCTGGATGATGTGGGGGACGGGGAGCTTGAGCAGCGAGTCGCCGCCGACGGGGAGGAGGTCCTTGACGAGCTGGAGCGGGAACTGCCTGCGCAGCTCCTTCAGGGCGTACTCGTCACTGATTTAATGAGACTTTGTACTAAATCAACGACAGATAATATGGTGCAACAGTTTTTCTCACCTACCAGCGTGCCACGGTGCCAGTTTCATTCAATCTTGTGCTGCACCTAGCCATACTATCTTTTCTACCAACACGGAATAAATTCTGCACCCACTAAATATATTTTATCTCAAAGAGGACTTAATGACCATGAATGACGAAGCCGGCCGGTGAAAAGGAAAGGAGAGGAGAGGCAAAAGGATCACTCACGTCGTTGGCGAAGAAGACGCGGCTGTAGGTGTAGCTGGCGGCGGGGTAGACCCAGGAGTTGGCGACGAAGGAGAGGCTGCCGCGGCCGGGGACGTCGTGGAGGGTGACGGTCTTGAGCAGGAACTCGGAGCTGTGGTAGTTGTTGACGATGATGGCGCCCGGCACCCCGAGCTTCTCCACCTCCCAGTCGAAGGTGAGGCCAAACTTGGACTCCCCCGTCGTCAGCGACGGCAGGCTCGTCACCCACTGCTCCAGCTCCGCCTCCGCGCCCGCCGTTGTCTGCACGCACGTATTATCATTATCAGATTCTCACATGCTTAGTTCATCACTACGTGTCACTCTGCCGCCCGGCTATTACTACTGATCTTACTTTAGTTTGATTATTGAGAGAGATATTAGTTTACTCCTACTTCTCCGTTCAACGCTACTCCCTCTATAAATTAATATAAGAGCGTTCAGAACACTACTTTAGTAATCTAAACGCTCTTATATTAGTTTACGGAGGGAGTACTATTGTTGAGTAGTGTAGTATGTCTTTGTGCTTTACTACTTGAGATTGTGCTTTTGACGTGTCCTTGCTTGTTCTATTACTTTGTCTGGAGCATCAAGCTCCATGATGTTGTCTCTTCTTTCCATGCCATGCCCATGCTCAGCTAAAGCTAAAGACGACCGACCAAGCTAGGCTATCTTTCTTTAGCCGATCGAGATACATCCATCCATCCATCTGAAAGAAATCCTATCTACTCCCTCTGTAAACTAATATAAGAGCGTTTAGATTACTAAAGTAGTGTTCTAAACGCTCTTATATTAGTTTACGGAGGGAGTACTAAGGAGAGGAGGAGGAGGAGGAGGAGGAGGAGCAAGATGAGAAGGGCGGAGTGCTTACCGTGGTCGACGAGGGTGGAGCTGATAAGCTGGCAGGTGACGCCCTTGCCGAGGAAGTCGCCGATGCCGTCCATGATGGTGGCGCCCAAGTCGGTGAGGTCCAGCACGTTCTTCCTCATCAGCACCACCGTGCCCTTGAGCCGCGCGCTCTTGTTCGCGCCGGTCAGGCTGTCGATGAGCCCTCCCAGTATCATCTTGGCCTCTATCTCAGTACTGTCGCTAGCTAGGGCTTCAATTGCACACGAGTGCTTTTGGGTGTGTGAGGAGGTCGCCGCGCGGAGGAAGACGGGCCGGGCGTTTTATAGGCTGGAGAAGGCACGGCGAGAGCACGCGTGCTGCCGTGCCGTGACAGCCCGGCCGCCTGGCCTGACCTAGTGACCTGACCTGACTCTTACGTACTCCTACATACTCCTACATACCATGCACGGCTTCGATACTTCTGGTTCCCAATCAATTGAATGAACTGTCGTGTCAGCTAGTAGTTGCACTTGCTAACAGCTAAGCTTTCTCGCAAAAAAAAGAGAGAGTAGTTGCACTTGCTAACTACTCGTCTTTAATGGCACCAAAATTCATTTTTTTAAATGGTAAGAAAATTGCATTATATTCACATCTTTTTGGGAGAGTGTTTTTATTGGCGTACTCCCTCCGTCCTTTGAAGAGTGTACTTCCAGCTTTGTTGGAAAGTCAAACATTTTTATGTTTGACCGTATTTATATAATAATGCATCAACATTTATGCCATCAAATTAGTAGCATTAGATTCATGATAAAATATATTTTCACCATATACCTATTTGGTTTCATAAACATTGATATATTTTTGCACAAACTCGGTCAAACATTGAGATAGTTTGACCCTCCAACAAAGTTGGAAGTACACTCTTTAAAGGACGGAGGGAGTATGTTATTTAGGACAGTAAAATATCTACTAAAAACACATTGGACAACAAACTAAAGAGATCACAAAAAGGTTCTCAAAGAAATAAAAGTGCCATTTTTCGGGGGGGAAATACCGTTGATTTAATGGAACCTTTTAATTGTTTATTTTGAGTTGGATGGAACCTTTTAAATAAATAGATCTTCGTATTTTAGCTAAACATATCATTGGCAAGTAGATCATCATGCATGTATTTAGAAAAATCACAACCTTAGATTTAACATGTCGGCTACAAACGATCGAGCCTCTAGCTCTTACACTCTGATATATTTTCATGTCATAGAGTCAATATCATGAACCAACAAATCCAACAAGACTTGAGATATATTTTTCGATTCTATGTATGCACCGATCTAGAATTATATACAAGCAAGATAAGTTATTTTCTCCAGATAGGTGAGTTGTTTTGTATTGATAGGAGAAGATCATAGAGCACAAAAAAAATAGACAAATTAACAAAATGGTCTAAGCCGCGGAAAGAAAATTGGAGAAAGGAAGGAAAAGAGATGATGGCACTGGCTCTCACAACGCGAGGTGCCAAGCATCGACCAACGCGAGGTGGTGAATATATTGTTACCTACTCCCTTCGTCTCAAAATTCTTGTCTTAAATTTATTTAGATACGGTTATATCAAGTCACATTTTAGTATTAGATACATCTCTATCTAGACAAATCTAAGACAAAAATTTTGAAATGGAGGGAGTACATAGCAAAACATAGTACATTCATGTAAGTTAAAAGTAAACATAATTTATTGTGGAAAACATCGTTAATTATTTTTGTAGTTATAGTATATGCTTGTACTAACGAAATCTAATAGGTAATGTATTTTAAACCGAGTTCAAATCAGTCACGGTATGTGGTACTGTACTAATCAATCGTGGTCTCTCGGTACGAAGGTGTGTGAATGATTGAATGGTCCCTTTCATAAATCGCCAAAAAGATCTCCTATTCACCATCTAGTAGACGCTAATTAAAGTGCAATAAGCGCTCCTTTGACCTAGCCAACCGCCCCTTCAAAAAGCTAGGGTACTCTGCCTCCCGCCGGCGCCGGCACCGGTCCGTCCCGTCTTCGGTGGCCTTAGGACCATGGAGGCGGAGTGATCTCGCCCCTTGCCGGTGGGAGGGCTTTGTTTTTAGATCTTTTTTCGATCTTTGTTAGGATTTGCGTCCTACTCAAGAAGGCGAGACGGCGGCGGCTCCCTGAAGATGGAATAAAGGTCTCCCCGCCTAGCCCCCGTTCCGGTGATGTGTTCAGCATCATCGGTGGGCGTGTGGAGTTGTGTCTCCGACTGATATGTGCTTGGTGGATTTGCTTGGATCTGTTTGTCGTTCGTCTTCGTTCGTGTGTCTTCAGGTTGGATCCTTTTAATCTACACTCTTCATCTGCGGCGGTTGCTGTTCTGGTGCGTTGGTTCTATGGAGCCTTAGCACGACGACTTCCCGACTGTCTACTACAACAAGGTTTGCCCGGCTCCGATGAGGGAGGGGCGATGGCAGCGGCGCGCCTTCGGCTCGCTTCAGTGTTTGTAGTCGTCGCTAGGTGGTCTACAGATCTGAAAGTAATTTTTATTATTTCTAGTATTAATTGTACTACCATGATTGAAGATGAATAGATTGGAAATTTTCTCTGCAAAAAAAAAAATTAAAGTGCAATAAGCAGCGAGCATACAGTGCACGCATCTACGTCGTCGATCGAAACACCGCCGTGGGCCGTCACGGTATGTTCTGCCCGCATGCGTGGGCCTGCCTTACTTACACTGTGGTGGGTAGCTGGTTTCGCTTGTAACCTCGCGGCCCAATAAATGTGAAAGAACCTAGTCGATGAATACGTACAATGCGCATGCATGTCGCATTATGTAAACCCGTCGATTGTCTAGAAAAATGTAAACCCGTCGAACAATTTTTCCCTGACTTGTTTTTTTTTGGTGAAGTTTCCCCTAACTCGTGTGACCAGGAATTATAGAACAGCATGTGTGGTACAGTGGTAGTTTTAGTGATTAGTGAAAATCAAGACAAACGAGCAAGAGGCTAAAAGGTGTGCAAAATCATAGTGTGATAGTGAACCAAATATTGAACTAGTGTAGCCGAAAATTATTGTGTGACAGTGAAGCAAATATTGAATTAGTATTGGGTGTGACTGATAAAGAGTAAACACATCTCTACTCTTATAAAAAATAGAGTTGGTGATGATGGTGTGCCTGCCATCCTGCAATATAGGCCGTTCGATTTATATCTGACGGATAGGAAGGAAACCATGACAATTTTACAAAAAGATATCCGCACTCCTCTTCACATTTGCATATAAGGCCTTCCCTCGCTTATCCTTATCTCCCACAAGACAAACTTATCATATAAAATGCATCTTGATGTTCCGTGCAATGCACGGGCATCTTGCTAGTTTAATGAAAATAATACTGAAACATGTTGTCAATTACATGGTTCTCGGCTGCACCCTTGTTAAGAGCATCTTCAACAGAAGCGCTATATAAGCGACGCGGGGTATAAAAACTGCTTTTAGCGCGCGCGGACCCGATTTGGAGTCTCTAGCAGCCGCACAAAAAACACGCGTAAGCTATAACTAATGCAGCGCGCGCATTAAAAAGGCATCGCGCGCAGCATATTTAGTGCATCCGGTAGCGCGCGCTGCAAACTCTGGGCTGCTGCAGATGGGACCGCTTGATTGAGACCGCTGGACTCGCGCGCGCAGCATATTTTGCATCGCTTGTTGGAGCAAACGTCTTCTAGCGCTTTAAAAAGAACTACTTGCGCGTTGTAAACCCGTTTTTTGGGCGCCGCGTATTGGGCGGCTGTTGGAGATGCTCTAAGATATTAGCTCTGGCAACTACATTGAGTTTTCCTTCTTCCAATTTTACTGGGATACGACAAGTTGTCCTTCACTGCTTCCCCGATTTAAAAAGTTGGAAATTGTAGGTGGAAGATACAGTTTTGAGTTAAGTAAAACTTTGGTCACAGAATGAGTGAGGACAAGAACGATTCGAGCTGATGAATGTTCCTTTTCAAGTGCAAATGCTATTCAGTAGTTGCTACAATTATCCCCTTTCAAGTTTACCTTACACAGGTCCACAGTTCCACATTACTATATCACACATGGGAGAGGGGCAACCCAGTAATGGTTCAAGCAGACAAGTACGTAGGAGATCATCAAATGATATGTATACTCACCTATACACCAATACCCTTGTATATACTTCCCACTGGCCTGCATCTAATGGCCCGCTTGTCGCTGCTCCCACCTAAGGTCCTCCGAGAACTCCATCATAGCAGCTCTCGGATCGCCACCTGTGACGGACAGGTAGTACCCGGCAGTTCCGTCATCCACATGCAAGCTTCGCCTCACCGACTCGAGAATCCGTTTGCTTTGCCTTTTTGCAGCTGCAGCGTTTGCCACGGATTCTGCGTTTCTATTCGGGTGGCCCTCGGGATAAAAGACGGCGACCTCTCTCTTTGAGTTGTGATCCATCTCAATGTAGCATGTGCTCCCCAGAAGGATTTCTGGATCACTGATTGGTATCAGAAGCCTCTCCCTCGAGTAGATACCGTGGTCACTCATCATGTTGTTGAACCGTTTGATATCGGTCACCTGCTTGAAGTTCACATGATATCAGATACGGTTTGACGAAGAACAGAGAAGGTTTGCTCACACAAGCACAGTACAGCTGCATATCTTTCTGAAACAGTGGAAATATTTGCCTGGAATGGTACAAATTACCGGCATTCAGCCAAATGGAGTAGCTGAGGATACCAATTGTTTTCAAATTTCAGTTGCATAGACAGCTTTGTCAATAACAGTAGTCCAAAAAGTCTGAACATGTGTGTGGTCAATGTTTCAGATTAGGACAGATCCGCACGACTAGTTCCTACGCGTAATATGAGAAGAAAATGAAAGTGCTTGAAATAGGATTTGAACCCAGGTCTATGCAATAGCGGTTGAGCCTAATGACCAACTAAACCAACATTTGTTGTTGTCTATTGTAGACAAACAATGTTATCTGAACCTTTCTTATTTCTGCCATATCAGAAAAAATAAAGTTTGGCTTGGTAACTTTGGCATGACCAGCGTGATTACTATGGTATGAGCAACATGATAAGGCTGGTAACTACAGTACGAGAAGGTTAAGGCATGGGGAAGTATGGCAATTTAACACGGGAATTACTGGTGAAAATGTTTCAAAAACTGTTCCCCCTTGGATGAAAGATAACATGGTGTTTAAAACGTAAGATATTAGTTATCAAG